GTTAGCTGGGTTCTTTTGAAATGTTATGAACAGTAAAAATATTACCCGCTGTATGTCTTTGAACAACCTCAGTTTGGGACAAAAATTTGAATTTGAGTAGGTTGATGAGCTGATGGTTACCCTGAATAAGTTAAGAACAATCAGCAATCTGAAAACAACCTCAATCTCAAATATTTTATAGTGGTTCATGCAAACAGTATCATGTAAAAAGCTGCGGGAGAGAGCGGGGCCTGGAGGCTATCTTATCACCAGAAAACTGCTTTGTTTTTACCACTATGGGAGTATGCTGTTTGTGGGACTCAGATTGTTTGGTGGCTCCTCAGATTGAAGAAGCCCTTTGGTTGAAGGACAAAACGAATCAGCAAAAAAAAAAAAAAAAAAGGACAGAACGAAAAAGAGGGCAGCACGGTGGCGCAACTGGTAGAGCTGCTGCCTCTCAGCGAAAAGGTCCCTGGTTCAAACCCCGGTCCATGTGCCTTCTGGGTGGAGGTTGCATGTCCTCTCCGTGCATGCGTGGGTTTTCTCCGGGTACTCCGGTTTCCTCCCACAGACCAAAAACATGCATGTTAGGCTGATTGGTAACTCTAAATTGTCCCTAGGTGTGAGTGAGAGAGTGAATGGTTGTTTGTCTCGTTTGTCTCTATGTGTCCCTGTGATGGACTTGCGACCTGTCCAGGGTGTACCCCGCCCCTCGCACAGTGATTGCTGGACATGGGCACCAGCGACCCCCGTGACCCAAAAACGGAATAAACGGGTAAAGATAATGGATGGATGGATGGAGAAAGAAAAAGAAAGAAACCGTCCGGATGACCTGATTAACATTACTGGAGTTTTGCCTGGATTAATGAGCATGAATTTTGGTGTATCATGTAAACTTTATAAAACTTTTCATCACCTTGTTATTCTGTGTTAAATATTATGATGTTGACTGGTAGAGGCTGAACAGAACATGTTACAGCTAGCTGCTGCTTCACAAGAAAATAAGAAAACCATCCATCCATCCATTATCTTTACCCGCTTATTCCATTTTGGGTCACGGGGGTCGCTGGTGCCCATGTCCAGCAATCACTGTGCGAGGGGTGGGGTACACCCTGGACAGGTCGCAAGTCCATCACAGGGCCACATAGAGACAAACGAGACAAACAACCATTCACTCTCTCACTCACACCTAGGGACAATTTAGAGTTACCAATCAGCCTAACATGCATGTTTTTGGTCTGTGGGAGGAAACCGGAGCGAACATGCAAACTCCACCCAGAAAGGCCCCTGGACCGGGGTTTGAACCAGGGACCTGTTCGCTGAGAGGCAGCAGCTCTACCAGTTGCGCCACCGTGCTGCCCAATAAGAAAACCATTATTTGTAAATACCTGTGTTCTGGTTGAGGTTAGCTGTGATCTGTTCTGTGTGCGAGGAAGTTGGAAATTTAAAAGACAATTTTGTTGGACTAAAATTACCAATAATCTATTATAATAACGTTAAAGCACCACATCATTAAAAAACCCCACTCTTTGAGAGACTTCAGTTTTTCCTTTAAAAGAAAAATCTACCTTTGTGTGATAATTTAAATTCTAACCACTGCTCCTAACCCTTTTATAAATTAGCTGTCTTACCAGTGATTCATTTCAATTAAACCACCAACTTTGATTGCTCAAACAAAAAGTTCATTAATTGACATGATCTGAAGGTTTTAATGTTGAACCCATGTGCAGGCAGACAACTTTAAAAATAAATACTTTCAATTTATTTAAATAAAACAAAATAAATCTGATGGGGCAGCAAGAACTTACATGGAGGGAAGAAATGACAAGAGGAACAGTACATGACAGACTTGGGAGCACAATCCACGGATAAAGGAGAAAACACAGACACGCTGAATATATATAGAGACTAATGACAGAGGGTGATTAGAATTAGAGACAGGTGAGACTGGGGGAGTGCAGGAAACACAAGGTTTAAAGAAATGACAGGACAAAAACAGCTTCCTACATTAATAACCATTTTTTCTTCTTTTCCATTTATCAATCAATAAACAAATGTAAATCTCTGTCTAGTGACAATTGATGTTTTGATTATTATATTTGATTGGTTGGTTGTGTTTGAGATTCTGCTTTATAATGTTTTGTCTGTATCTATTCAGCTCTGTTGTTTGTATTCTGATCAGTCTGTGCTCCTTTGCCTGGCCATGCCTCACACCTGTTCCTGTTTATTCATTTGCACAGGTGTTTCAATTTTGATCTATTTAGTTTCTGGTTATTTATTCTCCTTATTTCCTTATCTTGTTAGTTTGTCTTCTGCCCTCTGTATCTGTTCCTGTATTCTCATTTTGGTGACTTTGCTTTTGTTTTATGTTTTTCCTAGTATGCTGCCACATCAGCTTTGTGTTTAAATAGTTGAATAATTTAAGTCTTAAGTTACGGGGTAGCACGGTGACACAGTTGGTAGAGCTGTTGCCGCTCAGCGAGCAGGCTGCCCCAGATCAAATCCCAGTCCGGGGGCCCTTCTAGGTGGATTTTGTATGTTCTCTCCGTGCATGTGTGGGTTTTCTCCGGGTACTCCAGTTTCCTTCCACAGACCAAAAACCTGCATGTTAGACTGATTCTAAAGAGTGAATGTTTGTTTGTCTCTATGCGTCCCTGTGATGGACTGGAGACCTGTCCAGGGTGTCCTCTGCCTCTCATACAGTGACTGTTGGATATGGGCACCAGTGACCAGTGAGTTTTTTTTTTCACTTCTTTCTCTTGGTGAAAGTGGACGTTTTATCCTCCCACTCCTTCTCCTGCTTCTGCTATTTGTCCTATGAGCCTTTCGGAGCCTCTCTTTGCATATCTTCCGAGTTGTAAATTATGGATCTGGTCAGCTGGTCTCTCAATGCAATTGATTAAATTTTCTTGATGAGAAGACAGGGCAAAGGAGAGCCATCATGTCCCGACGGGACACTGGCAGCCGGATACACAACGGATTCCTGGGAGCAGTGAAAGATCATGTGTCTCCATATTGTTGGTCGAGAACGTTGAAGATGCGTGCATAATTGGATTTATGATAACATGACTGCCTTTTGGAGTTGGTGGTTACCTGGCACATGGACAAATTCGAAAAACGTGGGCAGCTGTTCTGGCCATTGTAAAGCTGCCTGGCCTGTGTGAAGGAATGTGCCATGCTGTCAACACTCAGACTCAGATGCTGTGTGAGCTGAGCTGTAAGTTGGGCGTGATTTTTGTTGAGAATCGCAGTCTACTTGTGGCTCCTGAATCTCGCTGACGGGAAGGAATCGACCTTGGAGAAGTTACACGCTTGGCTCGGTGGTACTGACCACAAAATTTTGGCTGTTTCGAGTCAACATTGAGATTTACCAGTGGAACTGTAAGGCAGACGAAAATCAATGGAGTCGGCCTGACCCAAAACAACTGTTGCTATCTGAATCTGCCACCCCCCATGTCAGTCTTGGAAGGTTGACTATCTCAAATTCTCCTGGATATTATGTGAACAAGATGCTCCCCGGTGCTGTAACCTAGGTTGGATGTGAGGTGGCTGTGACACTCACCAGGGCAGCCTGTGCTGGGAGCCCCCCACCTCCCACTTAACCCTCACCCACTCCACATGCATCTTATTGTGTTATCTGTATGTTGCTTATTTTATGCTGAGGTTTATTGCAGCTTCATACTGTGTCCTGACAGGACCTCAGTGCAATTTGGGGTCTGGTTATGTCATTTTAACTTAGGCAACTTTTTAATATAATTTTCTTATTCGCAGTGGTAATTCACTTAATCTGGCCAAATTAAATATCTCCAAACCAAATTCTAAAGTGAACTTTTAAATAGCTAAGCTCTTACAGTCAGTAAGTTGTTGGAATCCAAGAATGCAGGCAGACACAAGGAGTTTTAATAAATAATGAAAGTCTGACTGAAATCTGAATTGAGGAAACTAATGTTAGAGATAAACTGATAATAAGACACAATAAATAAATTAAAATACAATAACCCAGAACTCATAAAATGAAAGAAACTACAAAGGGAATAAATCTAAATGTAAAGTCAAAGGATAGCTAAATACTGAAATACACACATCATGACTTAAACTTTATCCAAATTTCAGTGTTTGTTAAAACCTAAATAATTTGGGCCCACATAATTCTTTTTGTTTTAAATAAGAGAATTAATCCTTGACTGATTTATTATTATTTCATTGTTAAATCTTTGATTTTGTCATTACTTAACTACTTCTTCATACTAGTTATTCTCCAAATTCTTCTTTATTATTATTTCTTTACCGTTCTTATTATCTCTAACGGTAGTTTTTTTCTGTCTGGTTCTCACTCGAGGTGGCTGCTCCCTGCCTTCCCTCCCCTGTTTTTCCTGCCTCCTGCTTCACTCTCTGTGTGTCTGAAGCAAATGGTACACATCTCCTAAACAAAAATCAAGATTATGGGTCTGGTCTGGACTTTCAACGCTATCGACAAATTTTTTTCAACAAAACGACAGGGTCCTGGAGAACCCACTTGTCTGGCTGAGACTCACGCTGTGGGGTACGTCATGGATCCATGGGGAGTGTGGCAGTTGATGTGCCTCTCAGTCCTGTCTCAGGAGGACGCTGAAGACATTTATATATTTGGATTTATGATAGCAGGTACTCTGCTTTTTGGCATCAGGGGACTCTGTTTTATCAACTTTTGAAGAAGACATCAGCAGCAGTTTTGGCCATGACAAAGCTTCCAAGTCAGTGTGAAGGTTTGGTTTGTGCTGTGAGTATTCAAAATCAACTGCTTTACAATTTCTGAGAATTGCAGGCCACCTGCGGCTTCTGGGACTCGTCAGCATGGTGGGATTGACCTTGAAGGAAGTTCATAACATGGATCAGTGGAATGGATTCCCACAAATCAGGCCATTTTGAAAGTTCCAGATGGACTCAAGGCTGATGAAAAAAATCTGTCTGCCTGAAGAAAATCAACAGTCGAAGCTTATCTGAATCTGACCTCCCCCGTTTGGCCTCGAAGACGGGCTGACTATCAAATTTCTCCTGGGTCATGGGTAACCAGGGATAACAGCTTCATCTGTCGCAACACCCTCATGAACTTCTGTGCAGGCTTATCAGAACTGCCGGCTGAAACAACATCATCAGAACTGTGGCCGATCTGAAAAACACTCATGGACAAATCTCAACACCTTGACGTCAAATGCATATGAAATCATGTTTTTAATTGTGCTTGTTGGTAGAGTTTTTTTGATGTCTCAGATCATCTCCTGATAGGACAAGATGTGATGAGATCTTTTTTTATAATACCACTATCTAACCTCATGGCTCTTCCCTTTTCCTATCTAAAAGTATTATTCTGAATAAGAATGGGAGACTGCAACGAAGCCAAGATTCAACTTGTCTGCTGCTTCCTTAGATAGAGAACTTTACTAATTGGCTTTTATGTTTGTGAATGTTCCTGTAAAGTGCCCTGAGACAACTTTGCTGTGATTTGGAGCTATATAAATAAACTGAATTGAATTGAATTGAATAAGAGAGGCCTCACTTTCAGCAGCAGCTTCATGCACTCCATCCATCTTTCGGACGGCTGTACGTACATGTTATTGTATCTCGGTGCAATGATAATAAAGCTTATTCTGATTCTGATTATTGGTTTTAAATATAGTAATAAAATGTCAAAACACAATTTCAATATCCTCCTCAATTGAGATAATAATTTTGATGAGAATTCTCTCTAACTAAAAAAATAGTTTTGTCTGATAATTCAAGTGCAAATTTTATTATTAAATATCCATAAAGTGATCCATCCATGATCTGTTTGACCGAGCTCCTTGATCTGGTGCCGCTTTCCTAACGAAGACTTTAAAGGGTAGTAGAATGGAGAAAAAGCATCACCCTCATTTTCCCTATTCACATTTTACATGATCAGGCTGGTGGTGTTGTTGCTCCAGCTGAGGATGTCATTCATGTGTACACCCAAGCTAGAGACCACTTCCACTGCAGATCCTCTTATGTTCAGGGGGGTGTAGGTGTTTTTGTTCCTTCTGAAGTCCACAATCATCTCCTTTGTCTTCTTCACATTGATGTGAAGGTTATTCTCTTTGCACAAGCTCTCCAGGTGTTCCACCTCTTGCATGTAGCTGGACTCATCATTGTTTGTGATGCATCCCACAACCGCTGTATCATCTGCAAACTTTACAATGTGACAGCCTGGATGGGTAGCTGCACAATCATACGTGAGCAGAGTAAACAGGAGGAGGCTCAACACACATCCCTGAGGAGAGCCAGTGCTGAGGGTTATGGTGGAGGAGGAGAAGTTTTGGATCCTCACTAACTGTGGTCTGTTTGCTAAGAAGTCTAGTACCCAGTTGCAAATGGAGGGGTTTAGTCCTAATGTGAATAGTTTGTCCATCAGGGTTTGGGAGATCATGGTGTTGAAGGCGGATGTGAAGTCCACAAAGAGCATACGGACATAAGAGTTTTTCTGCTCCAGGTGGTTGAGCGCAGGGTGGACCACACAGGAGATGGCATCCTCTGTTGATTGGTTCTCACGGTATGCATACTCATAAGGGTCCTCGTTGATGTTGATGGTTGTTTTGATGTGAGTCATGACCAGTTTTTCGAAGCATTTAGTGACTATCGAGGTGAGGGCCACTGGCCGATAGTCATTCAGATCAGTCACTGTAGAGCTTTTTGGGACTGGGATGCTATATATGATATTTCCTTTTAAGTAAGTCTAATTCATGTAAAATCGGAACTCCTTGTATGATCATTTGAACAAAAGGAAAAAAAAAACAACCAGTGCATGAGAATACATATGCATGTGCCACTTTCTATTTTTGTAGTTTTCACAAATAGTTAAACCATGGTTTCCCTCACTTACCTTCAATAATAGATTGTAGACCACTGAAAAATTAAATTTAGTACTTAAAAAAAAACTCAAGAAAGAAAAAAAGCAACATTTTCAAATGATGGTTTTATTTGTTTAATCATTAATGTGTGGAAACCAAAAGTTGTTCCTGCGAGATGCTTCTAAATGATTTAAAACTCATCAAATAATGACAACTAAGAATAAAATCAGCCCACATGCAGTCTCATTATCTGACCTAATCACAATCCTAAATAAGTTTGGATAAGTAATAAACATCAAATTCTCAGATTTTAGTTCCAAACAAAATTTGCTTCAATCCCCCAAACTACTCAACTAATGAAAGAAGAGCCTAATATAAATGTGTACATGAGCTGTTTTACTCTGTAGCTTTATATTCCACCACTGCTAACAAAGACATGAAGAAACGTAGCAAAAACTGAGACAGCGATCAGCTGACTAACGGGGCTCAAGTTTCCACCACTAGAAAATATGTCGTCAGGGTGGATGTCTGGGCTAGAGGTCGGACAAGTGAAGTACAGATCGTCATCTGAGCCTGAAGAGGTGAAGGTGACGAAGCCTGGTTTTGTTCCCTTGATATTGTCACTGATCCACTCATGGTACTGGGACACTCGAGTATAGACCCCAGGTCTCTTTGGGAGGGCACAGCCATCACCAAAACTTACAACTCCAGCCTGGACCCATGCAAAACCATCATGTGTCATCAGCGGTCCTCCTGAGTCTCCCTGTGGAATGAAAAGAGCTGTAATTCCAGTGTTAGCTAACGTTCATTAAAATCAGACATTCTCCTCTCATAATATGTTGCACCTTCTTTATTTCTGCCGTGAAAAGATTAGTGTGTTTACATGGCTATTTGCATAGGAAAACAAAGCGGCACCATTGTTGCCACACAGAACCTTGGTCATATGTGTGCAGGAAGTTTATTCTCATATAAACTTTATTTTTGTAAGAATTTTTATAGCAGCAGGAAAATCCTCAACATCTGAGGAGCATGTTCAAATCATTCAACCTTTATTTATACAGGTTAATCCCACTGAGAGTTGGGGACTCATTTACAATAGAGACGTGATGGAATGGATGCTAAAAAGCAAATATGTGTGATAACATGGGTCATTCAGATTTAAGTTTTAATAAAATCAATGTTTTCCAAGGCTTAGTGGTCCCATTGTCAATTTAAGTGAATATATTTTCTATTAATCTTGTTGAACATGAAACAACACAAGTAGTCCAAACAATCATGATCTTTGTTTTTTTTTTAATTAGCACATAACTACTATTTTCAATTTTTGAGGTAAATGTGAATTTAGACATCAACAAAAATATTTAAACTTCAAAGTTCATGCTCAATAATCCAGGTAAAATATCCAATAAAATCAGTCTGATCATCTAGATGGTTTCTTTGTTTTGTTGAGATGTTTCGTCCTTCATCCAAAGGACTTCATCAGTCCGAGTAGCCACAATAAACTCTGTCCCACAAGCAGCACACTCACATTGTGGACCAACCTGTTAATTTTAATTATGCTACTTTTAAACTCTTGACATTAAAGAAAGAAGAAGAAAGTGCTATGTGTTGTTATTACTGCATGTTTCTATTAGGGATGCACCGATCCACTTTTTTTACTTCCGATCCGATCCCGATACCTAAATCTAAATATCGGCCGATACCGATCCAGTTCTGATATCATGATCATCATTGATTTTATATGAGGCTGTAATAATCTCCTCTCAAGTACAATTTGTACAAATATATGCATGCATGTCCAAAAAGGCAACTTGAGGTAAGTTGTATTAATGTTGGATAAGTTTTAAAGTTAGAATTAAATTCTGCTAACACAAAACATGTTTCTTTTTATTCCTATTTTTGAAGTGGATATTAAAGTGATTAATTTAAGTGATTGTTTAAAGTTGTTTATATTTTTTTAAATAAGGGGCAGATATAAGAATTATTTTTCTTCTTTCTGCACTCTTTTCATTCAATGTTTTCTTTTTGATTTCTTTTTAATTTTGTTTCTTTTAAATGAATGAATAAATTAATTAAATAAAATAAAATGTTAAATGGCTTCAAACATCTGCTAAGTTCAGGGCATAAACCAACAGACATGTTCCTGTTTTTAGTATTTTACATCACTTTATAATGTAGCTGTTTTTCTCCTGATGCATGCTCAATAATCCAGGTAGAAAAATCTAAAAAAGTTAAATCTGGTCCTCTGGACATTCAAAAAAACAAAAAAAAAAAACAAAACAAAGCAAAACAACAAAAAAATGTAGAAATGTTTTGTCTCTCATCCGAGAGACTTCCTCAGTCTGAGGTGCTGTATTCAGCTCAGTCTCTTAAATAGCACCTTCTCAGAGTGGATCAACCAGTTTTGCTGCTGAACCCCAAAACCAGCTGATCACATGCTCAAGAAGGACCATCAGTCTAACAATGGATCATTAGCACACTGATGGCTGTTTACTATTCACAGAGGGCCGAGTGATACTAGCAATCACAGCATTGTAAGAGGGGGACAGTTGAACCCGGAGGCCTCCACCCCTGTTTAACGATGGACGATTTCTTTTCACAAAGATGGCCTCCTTTACTCCTCTCTCAAACCATCGTTCCTCTCTGTCCAGGATGTGAACATCTTCATCCCTGAAAGAGTGACCGCTGGCCTGGAGATGAGTGTAGACCGCAGAGTCCTGGCCTGATGATGTTGATCTTCTGTGCTGAGCCATCCTTTTGGCCAGTGGCTGTTTAGTTTCCCCGATGTAAGACTGATCACAGCCCTCCTGACACTGAACAGCATACACAACATTACTCTGTTTGTGCCGGGGGACTGGATCTTTGGGATGAACCAGTCTTTGCCGTAATGTGTTTTGGGGTTTAAAAGACACTGGGACGTTATGTTTAGAAAATAAACGTCTCAGTTTCTCTGATACTCCCTCAACATATGGAATGACCACTGGTCTGGGTCTGGGTTCCTCCTTTTCACCTGTTGGCTGACTGGAGTCCTGTTTGGGTTTCTTCTCTGCTTTCAGGAAGGCCCAGTTAGGATATCCACATTGCTCTAGAGCCTGTCTTGTGTGGGATTTCTCCTTGTGCCTGGCTCCTGAGCTAGTGGGGACACTGTCTGCTCTGTGATACAGAGTCCTGATGACTCCTAACTTGTGCTCCAAAGGGTGATGGAAGTCAAACAGCAAATACTGGTCTGTGTGGGTGAGTTTGCAGTACTCCTAAGTTTGCAAATGTCCTCTATCAGAGACTGAGACCTCACAGTCCAAAAAAGCCAACTTGCCATTTTTTACATCTTCTCATGTGAACTTGATGTATTTATCCACAGAGTTGATGTGGTCAGTAAAATGTTGGACTTCCTGAGATTTAATTTTAACCCAGGTGTCGT